AACAAATATTTCATATCAGCTTAAAGAATTAATCATATTTTGTTACAAATATATATTTGTTAACAAACGATTTTTTTCTTCAGATATAATTTAAATATTCTGTAGATTGAAAAGAATTTTAATAAATGTAAATTAATAATATAAAATTTTAATAAATATAAATAATATAAATAAAAATAATTAGTTCAATTCATAATGAAGCTGAAGCACAGCAAAATTAATAGAGTATGTAAGAGTCTAAAATGCTCGACTTTAAAATTTTCAGTTTTGCTTTTGTAATTCGCATTGCCCTTTAAAGCACTTTATGTTGAGGCTCAGTCTAAACTTTGGCTGCGCCTTGGCAGCTGCCACACAAAATGTACTAAAGTAATTCATTAGGCGGGCATTGCGCGTTGTTGTTGCTTGTTTGTTGTTGCCGTTGTTGTTGGCCTAGTTTTGCGCATAATGGCATGAAATATGATGTTTTTATGTGGCCTAACACACAAAGGCTCAGCGGGTAATCATGTCAAGCTGCGACCGGATTAGCCCAACAGGAACACGAATTCCCGTTGATAGGCATTGTCCTTATTGTCCTTTGCGCTATTGTTTTTCTTGTCGGTGTTGTTGCTGTTACTGAGAAGTGAAATCACTTAATTAACTTAATCAAAATATTGCTATTATTTGTGGCGCAGCATAATTGTGCCCAGAACCCTGCATATCCTTTGTTTGCACACACGCAGAATATGTTAGATAAATAAATAAATGTTCGTACTCCTAATGATTTGTTTGAATTTCTCGCTTCCCCTCTCTCTGTGTGTGTTTATTCTATTTGTATTATGACAGGCATCGAACTGATGCACAAATTAATTAAAATTTTCGCCTGTCTGCAATTCAAAATTACCTTAAGGTAAATAGCATTGAATGCTTTAGCAAAATTGAACGCTGCAAGGCATCCATTTTATTTCAATTGAGCTCAGCTTTCTTTACTCAATTACTTAACTATAAATTCGCAAAAGTTTTAATAGATATTTTACAATTTAAACTGAATATTCTCTTGGACGAGCTGTATTTCCATGCGATTTTAATTTGCTTCTATTATAAAAAGCTATCAAAGCAAATGTGTTCTATAGCTGCAGAAAATTGTTGGCTTCAAATAAATAAAAAAAAATATATATATATATATATATATATATTATAAATAATTAACTGAAAATAAGATTTATTAAACATAAATAATAAAATAATTTTTTTTAAAAATTGGGCAAATTTTTTAAGTTAAAAAAAAATGTTGAATACATTTAATCAGCCATAATTTCTTTATATAAACTGAATATTAAAATATTAAAATATTTCCTTCAATTCTTTCACACTCTTTTAATTAATTCACCTTCAATTTATCCATTCATTTCTCTAATGAACTGTAGTGCATTGTTTATTAACTTATTTGCTTCGAATACCTTTTCTAGTACAGAAATTCGTAACAAATTTCGCATTTCATCCCAAATTTAGTGGCAGACAAAAAGGGATAACTGGCAGCAAAATATTTTTAGGGCCCATTACGGAAATAACAAGGTAAATATATTAAAGATGGCAGAGTAATACTCCGTCTTTTATTTAGCAAACAAAAATCTTATTAGGTGCTCAACTTTAGCCATATAAAATAATTGTAACCCTTTTTTAAAGTAATTTAACACACACATAGACATGGTGCTATATGTGTGCTGTGAGTTAGCTGTCTGTGGCGCATTGATACCATTAAATGAGGGTCAGATGGAGGTGGGCGTGGCCACATTTCATGCCACTTATCAAAGGCAACAATTTAGGTTAAATACTCATTAATATTCCGGTCTGCGAAAGTTTTTGCCAAATAAATTTATGCCAGCCGCAAGGCACAAGACACAACAACAACAGCAAAGCATAACAAGAGTATGAGAAAGCGAGAGAGAGCGAGCCGAGACACTCATACACACGCACAGAAATTAATTTGGCCAGCGCCAACGGGTCGAATGTGTGCTATAGCCTACTTTTAGGCGAACTTCTGCTGAAAGCGGAGCTGGCAACAGTGAACTTTGTTTCGCATGCAATGTAAATGATAATTGGGCCCAATGTCTGCTGCCAAATGAATAATTTATAAATTAAGCACAAGGCAACTTGGCAGCAGAAAATAATAATACAAATAATACAAAGAAAAATGAATAAAAATAAAAATATAAAAGCAAAGCGGAAGCGCATTTAATTTGCTTTATTTGATGTTGCGAGCTGCTGCCACTAAAATGCCAATAAATTTGCCGAAACAACAATTTATTGCATACTTCGAAGCGCTGCATGTGTGTGTGTGTGTGCTTTTAACTGCGATTTATTTATTTACCGCTCCATGGCGAATTTTTCGCGACTCTGATAAAAATTTGACATGCCAAACGAGTCGAGGCGGTAGCTGCCCACACAAAATGACAGGATATTATTCAATTGAATTCGTTTTACATGCATGAAACTACAAAAATAATGAAAAACGTAGATGAAACAGATTGAGAGACTCCTGATCGACCAACAGATATGCTGTAAAATAAATTGAATGTTTGCTTTTCAATATATGCATATACAAAGCGAATAGATATAAGAGTTAAGGCACGGTTTTGAGGTTTAAGCTCCTGGCTTGCCTTTGAATGTTGTGTTGGCAGTGCTTCAGTGACAAAGTCAGTTAGTAACTCTATCTAGTCTGGCTAGTAACTATATCTTAGAGCTCTAAAACAAATAGTAAAAAATTAAATAAGAACTATGAAACGGTCTGAAAAACTATCTTTATTCATTTTAAATACTAAAAAAAATTGAATAACAATTATTATTATTTTGTATTTAATTTTAATATAAATGAAATTATAAGTGAAACAGTAAAAGCTCAGAAAGAAATATATATGATAGTATCTAAATGTATTGGCATAAGTATCTAAGTGTTTACTTTACTGAAAGGCAAGTGTTGAACTGACTTAACTATAAAAGCTGATATGAAATATAGTTTCTAAACGCAAATACCAGCTCCTTGGAAACTGAAATTCCTAATTATTTCTTACTCAAAACCGAGCAGTAAGGCAATAAGCTTGCCAACTAAATAATGTCAAATGAATGCCAAACAAATCAAAAGTTCTACTTTGTAAATGTCTCTTGTGAGTATGAAGTATGAGTATGAAGCTAAACCCATATAAATTTTGTCATAGGTTCTGCTATCGTCATAAAATAGTTACAAAACTTACAGGGTATTTTAAATGTTTTTATATTTATATGATGTGTGATATGATTGCAACAAATGTGCGGCAAAACGCTTTTGTTTCATGTCGCTTCATTTCCGTTTTTTTGTTCGATTCATTTTGGTTCACTTGATGCGCGAAGAGCGTACTATTAACATGGCTCTCGGGTAGCGCACAAGCGGACTCCATATTTATATATACGTATTCATTTTGGGGCTTATTAAATGCGCATATTTTATGCAACGGGCCGACAAAAAAGAGATACGAGACCAAACAAAAAAACTCATTCATAATTTGGTTGGCCCGCGGGCCCTAACTCCGGCTGCCACTCCGATGGGTAGCTTGTTTCGATTTTTTTCTTTTCTGTTCTTGCTCCTTTTGCCTAATTTGTTTGAGTTGTTAGGCAGCGAGTGGGTTGGCAAGGGCATACTGGCCCGAGAGGGGCGTGGCAGCCCAAGAAAACTGAGTGCGGAAATTGTTTTGTGGCTGGCAAAAGTTTTTCGTATGAAAAGCAAGCAAATAAGTTTATTTGAGCGCAAGTAAATGAATGTTAAATAAAACCTAACTATGAGAAAGACAGAGAAAGAGACGGAGTTGGCGGAGGAAAGATCTGCTTTCTAAGACAGTTAATCAATACATTAGCTCATAACTGTAACTTAAATACTTGACTAGTTACTTAAAGCAAATATAATTAGAAGCGGAACTTAGTTGAGTAGTTTTGCTTCGTTCTGATGCAAGACATATGGAAAGATGAAAAGTTGAATTAACATGAAAATCTTGTTATTTATTTATGAGTAGGGAATACGAAAGCATTAAGAATCAATTAATATTCTGTCAGAAAATGTTCTGAAGAGCATATGTTTTTTTTGGCATATATATATATATATAAATATATGGGATTAAGTCTAAAAACCTTTAAGCAAATATTTGCATACTATTTCAGAAATGAATTTTAGAAAGTATAAAAAAAATATTTAATTGAAATTAAATTTATATTTCATATTTTACATATTTTTTAAATTTGTACTTTATTTTCTTTAGTATTAATATTTTAATATTTAATATAAAATATTTCTGAAATTTATTTACTAAAAAAAAAATAAAAAATACATATTTATAAGATTGATTTTCAAAATATTATACAATTAATTAAATAAATATTAATTAAATGTATTTAAAAAATATTTTATAGATTTGATATTCAAATTAAATATTACAAAATACTCTCAAACGTTCTATAATTCATAAATGTTCAACATTTCTATGCTCTTAAATCCTTAAATTTGTTTGACAATATTTCAGATTTTTTCGCTGTAGAAATATTCATGCTGTTAGCAACACTTGAGCATACATTTGACTATGCTAGCACTTGGCAACACCTTAGCGCCTTTCACCTGTAGCACCAGCATCAATAATAATACGAAAAAAGAGAGAATAAAATGCTGTGCGTTTCAAAAGTTTCTTTTTCGATGGCAAAACTTTTGCCATAGACTCGCATACTCTTGGAGGCCAGTCGGTCTGTTACCTCAGCTAAATGCACCTCATTACTGTGCCACACACACACACAGTTGTGTGCATATATATATATATAACAAATACTCATATGAGGCATTTTCTATGGCATATTTGCAATTGCAGCAGCACTTCAACAAATGTGAGAAACTGCACTTCAGCAGCTGCTGCACAAACAGAATGCCCAAGCAAACACACACTAACCACACGCATACAGACACCCACACACTCGCATATACAGTGAAAGCACTTGGAGCATGGTCTTACCTTGTGCATAGGTCCACTTCAGCAGTATAACGATGAATACGAAACGTAAATCCATTTTACAATTTTTTACAGTATTTCGACTCGAGATAAAATGGCTAAAAAAGCGTTGCAAAAGCATTTATTTGCTTGCCGCACACACACACATAGAGCGGCACAAAGGATCGCCAAGGATATGAGGTTTTTCTTTTCTCTCCTTTTTATATATTTTTTGCTTTTTGTATTTTTCGTTTTACAAGTATTCGTATTCAATTTTTATTGCAAGTTTCAGCTGCAAGCTTGCAACTGGCCGGCATTTACAAGACGCTCAGCATTTTACACACACTCAGCCACACACACACACGCATCGCACACGTATATATTGAGAGGGGGAGTGTGTGTGCAGGCACTTTGCTTAAATGCTTCCGTTTCCGTTTGCTTTTGCGTTTCCGTTAGCCACCAAAATCTTGCGGCTACCACCTGGTGGCCAATTGAGTTTCGCATGTTTGCGACGCCTCGCAAATTAAATAATTAAAATACACACAGAGAAACACTTCTACTCTCACACACACACAAAACCGAACTGCCAGAACGAAACGTTGCCAAAAAATGGTTTGTTTATGTTTGTTTTGCTTTGCTTAGCTTTGCTTAGCTTTGCTTATTTTGTCTTCTGTCTGTTTGCCGTGCGGCAAGTGGCATATGGCAGCCTCTAGGCGCGTGGCATGCTCCAAAACCGTTAACCGTTGGCGGCAGTAACCAAAACTCAACTGAATGCCAACGGGACAACAGTTTACAGTTATGCCTGCCTGCCTATCTGCTTGCCTGACCGCCACACCCCCCCAAGCTGCCGTCCGCCCAGTGGTGAGTTTTTCCAACTTCGTTTCGTTCGCTTCGTGCGGCATGCAACATTCGGAGTCCGAGCAGCAAACAAATCAGCTGTTCGGCGGGCAAGAAACTTCCTCTAATTACCAAAATTTGAAAAAATGAAATTTCGCTACATTATTTAACAATTTATGAAATATAAATTATTTTAAATATTATAAAATCGAATTATTTATATGAAGTTTGGTTATTTTTGGATTTAAATTCTTGAAATTTATCAAATTAATATTGGAAAAATATATAAAAAAAAATAAATCAACACTAATTAATTAATTAACTATATTTAAAAATAAATAAAAAGGAAATATAAAAATATATATTCAGCAAATATTAAATATAACTTTTTAAGAGAAAGACTTATAGAAAAAAAATAATTCAAATATGATTTATACATAATAAAATAAATTCTACAAAAATCAAAAAAAAAAAATATTTAAAATTTACTTGTAGTTTTTTTAAATTAAATTAAATATGTTTAATCTACTTATAAACATAATAGCTCTTAGGTTCATCTAATCAACAAATAATTAAATCTTTATTATTTATATATTTTGTTCGCTTAAAACCCTTCTAAACTAATTCAAAAAAGTCTACATAATTTACATAAAAGATTCCATTGTCAATTTTCTTTCAGTTTGTTTGTCTTCTTGAAAAGATTCTCAAAAACGAAATTTTTCAATATTTATAAAACTTATTTTTGGTTAGGTGTCTCAGTCAAGCAGCTAAGCTCGATACCATGGACTTACATACATTTAATATATTCTCTTTCAACAGTTATTATTAATTATTCAGCTCAGCTTAAGATATAAAAAATTTTAAAATTTAAATTTCCTATTCATCCGGTAAAAATTGTTCACGTATATATAATACAGTTTCCTTATCAGCAGTTATTACTTCCTGTATACCCTATTAGCTGGCACGTTTCGGTTTGTTTATTATCAACGACGAGCATAAACAACATTTGTTGCTGAATTCAGCCGGCTTTAGGCGAATTGTTGAGTCTGCGCATTGGCTCCTAGAGTAACACAATGTGATTTTTCGGAGTTCGGAGTTCTTCAAATTCCGTTGCTCTCAGCGCTGACAAATCATAAAATCCTGAGCACATTTTCTTACTCAGAGAGGAGGAAACAGAAAAAGAGAGAAATTTTTTGCAAAAGTAACGAGTGGCATTTTTGAAAATATGTGGGTGACGAAAAACCGTTAGATACCAATGCATGTGGGTTGAGTATATATTTAACTTGAAATAAAAATAAATAATAAAATGAGGTTTGGCAAAATAAAATAAAATATACAATAAAATAAGAATTAAATAAATGTAAGATACACAAAAAAATTAAATATAATTAAATAATAAATAAGTAAAAATAAAACCAAAAAGTAATAATACTTTAAAACATAAAAAATTATAAAAAGGTTTTTCTAGTACTTTGTGAATTTTTAGAAATATATTTTTGTTTAGTAATTAATATTAATATCAAAACAAATAATAAAATTATACATTTTATATAAAAAAATAATAATTAATATTAATATTTATATTTATAAACAAACTATTTATTTTATTTAACTTTAGCGTATATAATTAAAATGGTTTAAATTATATTAAATTTTAATTATATTTAAAAATCCTACTTTAAAGTATCTCAAAGGAAAGGTTAAATTGTAGCCATTGATATATATATGATTTGTATCAACCTTATCCCTCTAAGTGTCACACTTTTCTAGCTTTAGCATCACTTCTCGATTCTCACATTTCTAGCCGTTCACATCATTCTTAAAGCCCCGCTCAATGCCCTCGTGGATAGCTGATTCAATTGATATACCCACATGCTTGGCCCAGTTAATTGGAATCTAATGTCATTTCCATTATGTCAAGCACAAGAACCACAATCAAAATTAGCCCCAGCGGCTTGTGGTTGCGTTTTAAAAGCCCACGAACGAACCAAGCCAAGCTAATCAGAGTTCTACTGGCCCTCTTCAAAGTGGTGGAGGTTGCTATCTGCCTGCAGCTACATAAACAACAATTAAAACGTTACAAATTACACGTACAAACACATCCTTCAAGGAGACAGAGTCGAAGGGAGAGCTCCCTGAGCTATGCACATTTCTCAGAGTTTTTCTTTATTTTTTTTCCTTTTTTTTGTGCTTTGCTTTGCTTTGCTTTTTTCTTTTCATGTTGCTCGTCTATTTTCTTCAATTATTTCCGATTATAGCAGGTAGAAACTTCAAATCCACATTAATTGCTATTTTACCAAGCTCCCACCCCACACACCCATCTCTATGCAGTGGCTTTAAAGTGCTGGCAAGAAAAATAACAAACCTGAGGTCAGGAACTGATTTTCCATTCATTTTCTTCACTTTTTCGTTTCGCAGCTTTTGCTTTCCTTTAACTATGGCTTGAGCTACAAAAGCGAAAAGATAGAGAAAAATTACGGTGGACGACCCAGTCAAGGAAGTTCCATATAAGAGGGTGGCAAAGGTAGAGGGGGGCTGAATGATAAACTGCAATCGAAGGACGTTGACTGAATGATAAATTACACTTGACAATGGCCGTTGGCAAACTGTGCGTGCGTGTGTTTGTGTGTGCTGCGTAACGTATGTATAGCATGTCCTGTCTGCAGCAGTCAACAGGAGCTGTTGCTGGCGTCCTGTCATAAGTTTACTTTTAATACAAAAGTTTTGCCCACTGTTGAAAAGTGATCACAATGATAATTACACAAGCGTAGCAGTAGATGGTGGTGGTGGTGCCACTCTGAGCACCACCAAGATTTATGTGGCGGCATGTGCTGGTCAGCTAAGCAGCAGGCTGTACCAAGAAAAGAAAAACACTGAAGTATGGCAGGCGAGTGTCGAGTGTGTTTTTGTCAGCTAAACAGGGACGCACTTGAGGGAGCTGAGAGTTGGAGTTAGGGGGCTGGCGGGGGTAATTATGATGCCTGCTAGCTGGCAGACTGGAGCCTTAGCCCAGTTTTCACTCATTAAGGATATCCGTGCAGGAAAACAATGCCAAACTCGAAACTTGGCTGCGAGACACAAAAGCCGTTACAATATTACCGCAGCCAAACACAAGAGGGCAACGCACAGGCACACCCACACACACACTCGCACATAGGCACCCACACACACAGCCGCAATTTGCAACGCCTCCATTTCATGGAGCCTGGCTTTTAATGCATTTAGTGGCTGCGGTTTTTGCGCTCACTGTGTTTGCTCTTTGGCGCGCCAGAACAACAAAGCAACACACACACACAGAGACAAACACCCACGCACACCCACACAAACAAAAACAATACAAATTTATTTTTGCAACCAAGCTCAGCTGCCCCGTCGCCCCACTCCCCTGACACGCCACCATTCTGTGTGCACAGCCGGCGGCTGAGAACTTGAGCACGGAAGTTCCGGCCTCACGGCCCCAAACTTTGCTCTGCGGGTGCTACTCTGCAGGGTATCTAGAGGCCGGGGGTAGACGTCAAGTAGATGCCTGCGCACTGAGCGGTAAGCCCAAAGCGTGTTAATTCGTTTGCTTTGCTATTTATGTTTTATTTTATTTTATTTTGTTTTGTTTTCTGTGCACTTTATAATTTCATTTCATTTCATTTATTTTTTTTTTTGGGTGTTTTCCGAATTAAAAGTTCTCATTCAAATTAAGTAGAGCCGGAGCTTTACAAATTATGCCAAAAACTTGTAAGTTTCTTGATAAACAAAATTAAAAACTACAAAAAATTTATGAAAAGGCAACAAGTTTTGATGGGATTTTGCGAGGGCCGAAAGTGCGAAGAGAAAGAGAGAGGGAGTTTGAGTAACAGAGCGAAGGCTAAGCTAAGGCACCTTATAATGTTTGTATAAATTTAATTTTATATTTTATATGTTGAAATATTCTAGAACGTTTGTCTATCTATAATTAAATGTCACACTAAATTCAATGAAAAATACTTCTTTTCATTCAAAAATGTTATCAAACAAAGTAGTGTTGCCCAGTCAAAGTTCTACAGCGCTTAAAAAAACTTGCATTAAATTGTTTTCATACAAAACTAGAGCCATTTTTCTTAAAGAATGGAGTTCTAGTAACTTAACCATAAATTCACAATTAATTATTTGACAAATAACAAAAATACATTTTCAATTTCAAGGCTTTCAGCTGTGATGTTAAGTATTTGTTATACTATATCTGTGCCCTAAACTTTTCTAGCTAAACTATTTGTAAAAACTTGGCAAAAGTACTTATAATTCCCAAACACACACGGAAGAAAAACAAATGCAAAAAGCTCTTGAACTTTGAGTGTGATTGATTGC